CTTTGCACATCATCAGACACCACATAACACATCCACCACACCCACCACACTTTGGGGAGGGGGAGGCCTTTCCCGGGAATAATTGAAAAAACTCATCACAAAGTGTTGGTAAAGGGAAAAGGTGAAATGGGATTACATGCATCACTGCTTGACTTACGGCTCGTCTGGAGTAAACTGAACAGGCTCTGCGGTAAACTGAGGATCAAAATTTTCAAGGTCTCGTTCTCCGTCCACCCTTGGTTTGTAAGGCGGAGGAATTTGCTTTCTCTCCAGCTGAAATAAATCAGTTAAAGAGACACATTGAAGATCACCATCAAGGTAACACCACATGAGAATAAAGGGATACAGCACCTGTAAATAGTGTAAATGCATTATAAGACAAAGAACCATATGGATAGCAATTTGTTACAGGCACCAGCCAACAGGTATAATCTCTGTAAAACAAATAAGAGAAATTAGAATACTCATCAAACCTAAAATCAGAATAAACTGAATAAAAAAATTATTCCAATAGAACACTAAAAATACCTTATAGCTATTTTACATTGATATCTCTCACAATTGTGCAGCAAATCATTTGATACTGAAAACTTTTTTTTTTCTTTTTCCCCTTAATTTCAAGATAATTCTAAATGCAGCTGGTTTGTCCTTGTGTTGAAAACCACAGTAACAATACTACCACCAGGATTTCCTCTTGCAGTAACAATCTTTTGGAGGGAGGTAGGAGAGGAGGGAGGAGGGAGGGAGGGAGGGAGGAGGGAGGGAGGGAGGGAGGGAGGGAGGGAGGGAGGGAGGGGGAGGGAGAGAGGGAGAGAGAAGAGAGAGAGAGGAGAGAGAGAGAGAGAGAGAGAGAGAGAGAGAGAGAGAGAGAGAGAGAGAGAGAGAGAGAGAGAGAGAGAGAGAGAGAGAGAGATGGGACTTTTTCACACAGTCTCAATTTTCATTAAAAATCTTCTTTAGTTATTACATTATCTCATCTCAAAATGTAACTGGAATATATGAAAAAATTGCTGCAATGTTTACAGAAAATACAAAAAAATATTTTGCTCAATACTGTCCAAAATAAAGAGATCACTCACAGTAATCAGATCATGTACTGATTCAGAAAAGATGAAAGAAAAAAAAATCCCCATAATGTTATCTATAGTTATGACTATCTCTCACATTATCCATTTCCAAAATTAAAAAACGAATATATATATATAGCTACCAGATACAAATGACCTCTGACATTCTGTTCATTCTTTTAAATCTACAAACTAAATGATTTATCACTTCAAAGCTTTATCTTATCACTAGACGTACAAAGGATCTCTCATTACCCAGAAACGTTAAAACCATTTAAAGATAAACAATCCTCTAGAAAAGACCTTGAAAATACAGCTTCCCCCCCCCCCCCCGCCAAAAAAAAAAAAAAAAAAAAAAAAAAAAAAAAAATTAAGTCCACCTCTAATGAATATCTTCTAACAGTTACAAGTCATGTGACTCTTTGTTGATCCTCAAGTATCATCACAAAAAGAATTTTATGTCTATCCTCCACATTTGAAAATCAGGGAAAATACTGAGAACAGATAACAACAGCCTGAAGTTCATGTTACGATTACTTCGAAGGACAAAGTGATTCGTTATCCCCCCAACCAAAAAAGGAAGCAGGTTGATGGGTTATTCTCCAGTGAAACAATCCAAACTCCAAGAATCCTAGTCTTCAAGTGAAAGAAG